CTATTGCACTCCAGAGAGGCTACAGATCAAAACTCTGTCTCAAAAACAAAAACAAAAACAAAAACAAAAAATCTTTAAAAAAAATCCTGGAAACACATCAAAACAGAACCTCTTTAAAGCATAAATCCCATAGGACCTATAAAACAAAAATACAAGTTAAAAAGCAAAAACAAAAACCCAAGGTACACAGGCAACAAATAGCACAATGATTGCAATGGTACCTCACATCTCAATATTAACATTAACTGTAAATGGCCTAAATGTTACTTAAAAGATACAGAACTTCAGAATGGATGAGAACTCACCAACCAACTATCTGCTGCATTTAATAGACTCACCTAACACATAATGACTCACATAAACAAGTGAAGGGATGGAAAAAGGCATCTCATGCTAATGGACACCGAAAGCAAGCAAGGGTAGCTATTATATCAGACAAAACAAACTTTAAAGAAACATCAGTTAAAGCCGCGCGCAGTGGCTCAAGCCTGTAATCCCAGCACTTTGGGAGGCTGAGGCGGGTGGATCACGAGGTCAAGAGATCGAGACCATCCTGGTCAACATGGTGAAACACCGTCTCTACTAAAAATACAAAAAATTAGCTGGGCATGGTGGCACGTGCCTGTAATCCCAGCTACTCAGGAGGTTGAGGCAGGAGAATTGCCTGAGCCCAGGAGGNTTTTTTTTTTTTTTTTTTTTGCAGGATAGGTTTTTCTCTATCCCTTTACTTTGAACTTTTGGATATCATTACATGTGAGACGGGTCTCTTGAAGGCAGCAGAGGATGAGTCTTGTGAAAGATTTTCTTTCTCCTTCATTTATGAAGCTTAGTTTGGTGGAATATAAAATTCTTGGGTGGCATTTCTTTTCTTTAAGAATACTAAAAATATGTCCCCAGTCTCTTCTGGTTTGTACGTTTTCTGCTGAGAAATCCAGGCTTTCCTTTATATGGAATATGGCCCTTTAGGCTTTCCTTTATAGGGAATATGGCCCTTTTCTCTAGCTGCCCTTAAGATTTTTTCTTTGGCATTGACCTTGGATAGTTTGATGAATATGTGCCTTGTAGACAGCGTCTTGCATCTTGTATGGTATCTTGCAGGAATTCTCTGGATTTCTTGTATCTGCATGTTAAGCTCTCTAGTAAAATTGGGGAAAATTTCATGAATTATATCCTCAAATATGTTTATGTTTTCCATATCTTACGTTCTCCTCTTCTCTTTCAGGAATGCCAATAAGTTGTACATTTGATAGTTTTATGTAATCCCATATTTCTCAAAGGCTTTGTTCATTTTTACAAAATGCTTATATAATTTTTGTTTGACTGGGTTGATTTAAAGGACCAGTCTTCCAGCTCTGTAATTCTTTCTTTTTCTTTGATTAATCTGTTGTGAAGGCTTCTTATTTGTATTTTGAAATTCTAGTAGCAAAATTTTTAATTCCAGAAGTTCTGTTTGGTTCTTTCCTAATATAGTTACATTGTCTTTCACATCTGAGATTGTTTTTCCGTGTTCTTTGTGTTGGATTTCAACTTTCTATTGGATCTCATTGAGTTTTCTTGCCATTCGTATTCTGGATTCATTATCTGTCATTTCAGTCATTTCATTCTTGCTAGAATCCATTGCTAGGGAGCTGGTGCCATATTTTTCAAGTGATTAGATATTCTGGCTTTTGTATTGCCTGAGTCCTTGTGCTGGTTCCTTCTCATCTGAGGGTGCTGATGCTTCTTTTTTTGAATATGGTATTGTTTAGACAGGACTTTTTAATTCTTTTTTCTCTTTAGGGTATGGCTGTGGTGTATGTTATGTATGGTTGATTTGTTTCAATTCTGAGTGCCTTCAGAGGGCCGGGGCTCTGTACATGTTCCTTCACTGCAGATAGATTCATATGATGGCTTACTCAGACATTGCTTGGTGAGCTGTGTATTCTTGTTTGGTGGTATAATTCAGGCTGCAATCCAGTATATGGTGCTTAAGAGTAAGAATCAGCAGGAGGCTCTTACTCTGTGTGTGCTCACCCTCACCTGGGGTAGAGAAAATGGAGAAGCCAATGAAGTACCCTCCCCCAATACTGCTGGGCTTCAGCTGTGGATGGTACTGCTGGAGAAGACCTAGAAGTGCATCTTTCAGTCAGCATTCCCTAAAGCCCAGTGGGATGAGCCACTGCCATGTCTACAGCAGTGCACCGGAGAGGGAGCAGGGGGATGGGGAGAGATGATCCCTTCTCTAAGTTTGTTTCAGACTTTGGTATTGCCCCATTCAATGGCTGGCACCACATTTGCACTTCCTTTGACCCTAGGCAGGCTTTGGCAGGCTGTGCTACCCTTCCCTGAGGGGCAGTTCACAACAAGAGTTAGATCTCCAAGGGAATGAAGTCCACCTTCCTCTGTGTCCTCAAAGCTGATCAGGCACTCTTCCCCAACAGACAAAGGGAATAGGCTGGGGCAAAGCTATAACTGGCTGCAAGTCATGCTATCCAAAATAAACGTCAGCTTCAGCAACTCTCCTTCTTCTCTAGTTCTGCTAAAGGAGAGAGCCTAATTCCAAGAGGCAACTATTGGGACACTCTCCACACTTTTAGCTGAATGCTGGCTGTGGGGGCCTTTACCCGACTCCAGTGGAAGCACTTTAATCTATCTGGCCAGAAACTGAAATGTCTGCAGTGGCTGCCATTGCCAGGTTGCCAAACAATGATTTTGTCTGAGCCTGGATTAAAATTGGCATCCATTTTTCAGTCCTTGGTCTGGGAAAATATCTGCAGCTTTCCCTGGTGTCTTTCTCTCTATCTCTCAGCCTCTACCTGAGCTAGCTCCCAGGTTTGGGAGTAGCAGGATGCCCTCCCTTGTCCTGGGTTTCATACATCACGAGCAGAAAGGTGTGACACAGAGGGAGACTGGCTGCCTTACTCTGGAACTGGGGCTTCACTCACTTTATTAACCAAATGCCATCAGGGGGCTGCTCATCTTCTCCTCCCTGGGGCCTCGGGTGTCCTTTACTATTCCAGTGAATTCCCATGTTTTCTCTAGAATTAGAGCTCACAGAGTTGATTTTTTGTGTACTATTTTGCTATACCCAAATGGCTGAGGTATGCTTAAAGTCTCTAATATACCACCCTGAAAAAACAAAAAACACCAAAACCTCATTTAAAAAAAAAAGTTGAGATTTAAGAGTTTTTTTGTATATTTTAGATATCGGTCCTTTGTCAGGTGTGTCTTTTGCAAATATTTTCTACCTTTTTGTGGGCTTGTCCTCTCAACCTCTGACCTTGTCTTTCAGAGCAGATGCCTAATTTTAATGAAGTCCAATTATTTCTTTTATGAATCACACATTTGATGAATCCAAAAGTCATTGTCATAGCCAATTTTATCCAGGTTTTTTCCTGTGTTATGTTCTAGGACTTTTATTGTTTTTCATTTTACATTTAGATCTATGATCTATTTTGAGTTTATATTCTTTTTTTTTTTTTGCCTATGTATGTCTGATTGTTCTGCCGCCATTTATAGAAAAGACTGTCTTTGCTCCTTTGTCAAAGATTACTTGAAATATTTAAGTATGTTTATTTCTGGGCTCTTTATTCTGTTCCATTGTTGTATGTATGTATTTATTTATTTAGATTTATGCCACACTATCTTGATTACTATATCTCCATGGTAGATCTTCAAGTTTGGCAATGTCAGTCTTTTGATTTTGATCTTCTACTTTAATATTGAATTGTCTGTGTCTTTTGCCCCACTATATAAACTTTAAAATCATCTTTGGTCAGGCGTAGTGGCTCACACCTGTAATCCCAGCACTTTGGGAGGACAAAGCAGGATCACCTGAGGTCAGGAATTCAAGACAAGCCTGACTAACATGGAGAAACCCTGTCTCTACTAAAAATACAAAATTAGCCAGGTGTGGTGGTATATGCCTGTAATCCCAGCTACTCGGGAGGCTGAGGCAGGAGAATCGCTTGAACCTGGGAGGCAGAGGTTGTAATCAGCCAAGATGACACCATTGCACTCCAGCCTGGGCAACAAGATTGAACTCAGTCTCAAAACAAAACAACAACAACAACAAAAGGAAGGATTATGCTGGCTTTTAAAAGGGTAAATTTCAGGTTTCTTGAGATATCCTCAAGAACATTGTATAATCAGAGTGCTTTTGGCTTCAAATGAATAACAGAAAACTCAGACTCAATGTTAAATAATAAAGAAAAATATATTCCTCTCACCTCCCTAAGGGTTGGCTTCAGAGTTGATATAGCAGTCTGACATCATGAAGAGTCTTAGTTTTTTCATCTTTTTTATTTGCCTCTCCCCATTTTTTTTTTTTTTTTTTTTTTTTTTTTTTTTTGGCCAAACTTTTTTTTTTTTTTTTTGTCGTTGTTTAACACACACTTAAATGGTGTTACTGGGGGAGGGGAAAAGGGAGGTTCTTGCAGATTTCCGATGAAATGTCAGAAAGGCAAAATGGGCAGCATTATCCATTTGCTTTTTTGGGTTTACTGGGTGAATATTTCCTTACATAAGCATCTGATTTCAGGTTTTTCATACTGAGATCATGGATATTTTAGTTGGAAGACACCCTGAAATCTTATGAGTAGCATGCCCCAGTCACCCTCTAACAGCTAGCTTGTTTGTATAGGCAGAATGATTCATCTCTCCATTTTAGATGGCTAGATGTTTTGTGGAAGATCTTAGAATTGCTTGCCTCACTTACTGGGAAAAATCATATAGGAAGTGGCCTTTAGGGACACTTTTACTTGGAAAGTTACAACACTGGTACAAGTCTTAACACATTTAACATTTGCTTGTTGAAAAGCAATGTCAAAGTCAAATAAAAGTAAACATGTTTTACTTTTTTCCTCAGAAGAACATAAAAATTATGGAGGAGAATTAACAGGGAATTTTAAAAAGCTAACACAATTTTTCTTTTTAGTAGTCCTTGGGTAGTTACGACATAATAGTTTCCACTTTTTGTTTGTTTCTTTGAACTGGGATTTTGGTCCAAAGTTTTGTTTGTTTTAGTATCTGCTTCTGCCTCCCCCTCTGTCAGATCGGCTTCCTTCACGGCCGCCACCTCTCGGTGCTCCGTGGCTTGAACTGCTGTAGGAATCATGTGGAGCAGGGTACCCCCTTTCCATAGAAGCGGGAAGCCGTCTTTCTTGTCTGTCAACCCGATCACGACCACTTGAGTAGAGATCACTTCGGCTGCTTGAGTAACTGTCTCGACTTCCACCATATCTGTCACGTGAGCTGCCGTCATCATCATAGCGACTGCTTCCTCTGTAAGATGGCGGAGCACTGGGTGAGGTACCATAACTCTCACATGAATCTCCGTAGGAACCTCTACTTGGGTGATCTGAATAGTCACGACCGTCTCCATCTCTATTGCCATAGCCTCTTGATGGATAGTCATCACGTGAACTGGAATGACCGTAATCGCGTAAGTATAATTTCGTGGTGGTGGTTCACAATCTCTTGTGTCACGAGAACTTGGGTTATCTCTGCTGGAAGAGCTGCCTTTAGTAGAATACCCATCATCTCTTGGGGGCAAATAAACATCTCTACGAGAAGGCAGCGGTTCTCTTTGAGGTGGACTTCCGTGACTATCTCTTCCACTTCTTGGTGGTGGTCCTCTTTTTCCTGGGAGTGGTCCCCTAGAAGAACTCATGTTAAAATTCATGGAATATCTACTGTCATCCATGTGTCCTCTCCGTGAGGGAGGTCCCCTGGTTCCTCCACTTCCTCCTTTTCCACCTCTAAGACCTCTTGGAGGGCCTTTACTTCTTGGAGGTGGAGGTGGCCCACGTCTACCACTTTCAAATGATGATTTGGTGGCTTGTTCCACCTTGATGGCCTTTCCCTCTAATGACTTTCCATTCATGTCTCTGGCTACATTCTTAGCATCTGCTGGGCTTCCAAAGGTGACAAAAGCAAATCCTCTTGATTTGTTGGTTGCACGGTCTTTCATCAAGAGGACTTCTACTATTCCTCCATATTTGCCAAATACTGCTTCAAGAGCTTTCTCATTTGTTTTCGTATTAAGCCCACCCATGAAGAGCTTTCCTGGGCCATCTGCTTCAACCTTTTTTTTTTTTTTGCCCGTGAGTCGGAGGGGTCAGTGGGCTCCAATGAGATCGCCGAGAGGGGCCTCCTAGCAGCTTAGCACCAAAAGCGGCTGCCGGTCCGAAGACCAAACCGCGATGCCGCTAGCACTACTGCGCAACGAGCGAGACAAACTTTTATTGTGTTAAGCCATTGAGATTTATGGGTTATTTGCAACCTTAGCTGATGAATTACCTTGATAAATACACATTGTGGGGATAATGCTGTATAAGCTCTTGCTTTGTATAACCTCCTTAAGTATTCATATTTGCCATTAAGGAAGTTTTATATTCTGTAACTGTTGGTGGATTTTCATAGATCACAACACCATCCCTCAACGTTGGCCATTTGGTAAACAAAATGTATACTGCAGCATGATTACTTTTGGTAGTATATCAGATTTGTAGGAAACAATGGTTTATCTTGCATTCAAAAGTGAAGGTATTCTGGTTCATAAGGTGGCAAACTCCCTTTTCAGAAACCTCACTGTATGAACAACTGTGGAGTCTTCCAGTGCTTCCACTACAGCAAATCAGCATTAGCATTGTGACAGAAGTGTAATCTTCATCCTCTACTGCACTATACTCTCCTCACTTCCATGTGAGGGGAGCACTAAGACTACTCTGGTCTGATACTATAAAATTATCAACTGTTTTCGGCCATCACTGTAGTTATATAATTTTTCTGCTTTTTGATATTTAAGATTATACGGCAGGAAATATTAAGACCATGCTTATTTTGCTTGTGAATAGTGTGATTTTCCAAAATTCCCAAATCATACTACAGTTATTTTGAGTCTTCAAATCCACTCCCATTCCCACTTTTTTCCCTATGTTGGCATACTCTATTTTAGAAGCAGAACTTGTTTTAGAAAAGGCACTGGCAATTTGGAATGTGAAAGAATGTGGCTGATTTTACCTTGGCTGTTCTTGAATGGCTATTCTTAGCTGAGTGAGGCAAACCCAGCATGGGTGGGCACCCTGGAAGTGGACAAAATAAATCTGAGTGTGTCAATTTGTCTCTCGTTGTACTGTTTCCTACATGTCTTCCTTGATAAAAATGGAAGAAATTGACCGGATTTTTTTTGTTGTTGTTTGTTTGTTTTTGAGACAGGGTCTTGCTCTGTCATCTAGGCTGGAGCGCAGTGCCATGATCTTGGCTCACTGCAGCCTTGACCCCTAGGGCTCAGGTGACCCTCCTGTCTCAGCCTCCTGAGTAGCTGGGACCACAGACACATGACACCATGCCCAGTTAATTTTTTTGTCTTTTGGAGAGAGGGGGGTCTCCCTATGTTACCTAGGCTGAGACTTAAACAAAATCTCTTGCTGGGCACAGTGGCTCACGCCTGTAATTCCATCACTTTGGGAGGCCAAGGCGGGCAGCTCACTTGAGGTCAGGAGTTCAAGACCAGCCAGGCCAACATGGTGAAACCCTGTCTCTACTAAAAATATGAAAATTAGCCAGGCCTGGTAGCGTGCACCTGTAACCCCAACCACTAGTTAGAAGGCAGAAGAATGGCTTGAACTGGGGACGCAGAGGTTGCAGTGAGCCGTGATCGTGCCACTGCACTCCAGCCTGCATGACAGAGTGAGATGCCATCTCAAAAAAAAAAAAAAATCTCCGGGGTCCCCAGCCTCATGCCCACCTTGCTGCTCAGCCTGCTTGCTGGCCCCCAATAGGTTGCAGCCAAATGTGGTCTCTCCTTCGCCTGCCCCAAAGGATTCAGATATTGTGGTGATAGCTGCTGCCAGGAGAACGAGTTTTTCCCCAGCCCCTTGAGGATCCTCGTCATCTTCTTGGTCATGCTGCCCCTCTTGTGCATCTGTGATCTGGCTAAGCACTTCTGTCACAACTGCAGAGAGCTGGAGCCAGACACACTGATGCATTGCCGGGGACCCCCGGAACTGCACTCCATCATCCCCCCAGAGAGGGTCAGAGCATTCCTCTCTGCACCCCCAAACTCCTACAGTGAGGTGATTCTGAAGCCCATCCTGGGTGCAACTCCCACAGAGCTACCCTCTCCCTCTCTACAGCTTCAGGCCTGAAGAATATACTGGGGATCAGAGGGATATTGACAACCCAGCCTTCTGAGTCACCTCCTGCTTGGAATCTTCCCATCTGCAGCCTCCTCCCCAGTGCCTCCTGAGACTACCGGCACCCCAGGAATGTCCCTGCCCATCCTGCCATGTCTCTCTTCATTCTTGGATTCAACTTATTGTTTTTTCTACCTCTGTTCCCACCCCAGCTGCCTCTCTTGTCCTGAGTGTTAGGTTGGAGTGACAGTATGCCCACCACCAGCCCAAGAAAGAGGCTGCCAGAAGGAAAATGCCAACCATTGGAGGTGTCCAACAGCAGAATGGGATACTCTGAGGGTATTAAGAGCCCCATTTCTGGAGGTATGCAAATGTCAACTGGACAGCCACCTCTGAGATTTTATCAGGGCACTTTTATACCTGTGGGAGATTGGACTGGATGAGCTCTGAGCCAGCTTCCAATCTTACCTGAAAAGAGAATTCATATTACCCATTCCCAACACATGATAAACACACGTCCTCACTGGAAAAAAAAAAAAATCTCTAATCTATGTGAAATATTTTATAAACTGACCAGGTGTGGTGGCTCACGCCTATAATCCCAGCACTTTGGGAGACCAAGGTGGGCAGATCACGAAGTCAGGGGTTTGAGACCAGCCTGACCAACATGATGAAACCCCATCTCTACTAAAAATACAAAAAATTAGCTGGGTGTGGTGGCACGCACCTGTAATCCCAGCTACTTGAGAGGCTGAGGCAGGGGAATTGCTTGAACCCTGGGGGCGGAGGTTGCAGTCAGCTGAGATTGTGCCACTGCACTCCAGCCTGGTGAGAGTGAGATTCTGTCTCCAAAAAAAAAAAAAAAAGAACTATTGTATAGCACTATTCTACACAAAATGCTCATAAATATTAGTTATTATTTAGAACTATGCTGTCTAATATGTAACCATTGGTTACCTGTAGCCATTGAACACCTGAAATGTGGCTATTCTGAATTTAGAGATGCTGCCAGTATAAAATACATTAGATTTCAAAGGCATAGCATGAGAAAATGAAACTATGTATAATATTTTAATTTTTTTTTTTGAGACAGAGTCACACTCTGTTGCTTGGGCTGAAGTGCAGTAGCACAATTTTGGTTCACCACAACCTCCACCTCCCAAGTTCAAGTTATTCTCCTGCCTCAGCCTCCCGAGCAGCTGGGACTACAGGCATGTGCCACCATGCCCGGCTAATTTTTATATTTTTAGTAGAGATGGGGTTTCACTATGTTGGCAAGGCTGGTCTCAAACTCCTGACCTTGTGATCCACCTACCTTGGCCTCCCAAAGTGTTGGGATTACAGGCGTGAGCCACTGTGCCCAGCCTTTAATAATTTTTATATTGATCATCACAGTAGGTAGAATAATGGCCCACTGAAGATCTCCATGTACACATCTTGAGAACCTGTGAATATGTTTTATATGTTACATGGCGAAGGGGAATCAAGACTGCAGATGAGCACACTTTTAAATTTATATGTAGGAAGGGAATTTGTCATTCTTAAACCAACTACAATAATCACAATGTTCAGATAATTCCAGAAACTCCTGACGTAGTGTGGCTTGTAAAGAGGAATTCCTAGTCTCTCACCACATTGTAGGAGATGAAGAAACTAAATATAATCCCACAGGACCCAGGAAGAAATCATAACTTGTGATGTACAGTCAACTTCTCAGATTGACTGGCCACGATGATATCATGGCATAGATCTCAACGAGCAATCTGGCCCTGTGGAAGTTTTGTAAGTCAGTAAAAATTGCCTTGGATCCTGATGATTTAATATAAAGTAAAATATTACCTGGTGGAGGAAACATATACTTAAGAAGGTTGTTTTGTGATAGCTTGTAATGAAAAATGTAGGCTCATACACATAAATGTATGAGCCAAATAGTGTTTGAAAATATTTTGAGCCTTGAGGAAATGTAAATAAATTCTTAGGTAATAGTAATAAAAATGCTGAGTCATTCATTATGTGATTACCTTTTATGCAACCGTTGTGAGATAAAGTTGTTGTTCCTCATGAGTCTAAAGGGATGAATGTATTTAGTAGTATAATCACAATGGGTTTAGTGGAGTACATTTTTGTTGGTGGTCAAAGCCTTGGAAAGCACCTCCTCAAATGATTTGTTATCATTAGTAGTATCTTGTTAATCAGTAAGAGTTTTATGAATTAAAATGATATCATACACTCTGAGACAAAAAAAGAATTTAAACTGAGTATTGTGTGTTATTGCAACATAAGAAAGGAGATGATAAAGTTTATTACCTCATTTAAAAATGATGTCATATGCTTATTTTTGAGGTTAGTCAGAGTGTACATTTTGTTGTTTTTAAAACTAGGTAGGCTGTGTCTAGTGGGTCATTGAGTGTATCCTCTAGATATAGGCTTAGTGGAAGTTTTTTTTTTTTTTTTTTTTGAGACAGAGTCTTGTTTTGTCGTCAGGCGCCAGGCCAGAGTGCAGTGGCGTGATCTCGGCTCACTGCAACCTCCACCTCCCGGGTCCAAGCAATTCTACTGCCTCAGACTCCTGAGTAGCTGGGACTACAGGTACGCACCACCATGCTCAGCTGATTTTTGTATTTTTTAGTAGAGAAGGGGTTTCACCATGTTGGCCAGGATGGTTTCGATCTCTTGACCTCGTGATCCACCCGCCTTGGCCTCCCAAAGTGCTGGGATTACAGGCGTGAGCCACCGCACTGGCCTAGTGGAAGATATTAATAACTGTGAGAGCTTGCATAAGGGCACCACCTGCTGAATCCACTCCATCTCCCTTTTCATCTGCTCCATGAAGCCACCTGGGGAGGCGAGGCCAGTATTCACAGTCCAGAGCCCTGCCATACCCTCCCACCTCGTTCAGCCCTCACTGGAGGCTGCAGAGACTGAGGCTTCTGCTGTTCCTCCCTTCCTCACCTTCCTGCTGCTCTTCTCTTCCCTA